TATATGTTAGAACTTTGTTGAAGAACGATAAACAGAAGACTGTTGAGATATATTATTTATGTGACAACTAGAGCGATTCCCTCATTGTGAGGTAAGACATTTGTATAATGTATACGTATGTATTTTAGTGTTATTGTTGTAAAATCGACTTATAGGTAGGATTCATTCTTTTATATAATTATTATTTAGAAAACCGACAAACGTTATTAATTAAATAAAGTGAAGAAAATATAATCTGTCGTGTATATCTCGTAACGGGGAATTCGAATTCGTAGCACTTTGGTTGCTACATAAGTTTTCTCACAAGAATTTATCTGGTTATTATATGGCATCCGAAAGCGACATGGCGATCAACGAAGCAGAACGGCCAAGCCGAACTAGATTAAGCCGAAATATTGATGGCGCTCGTGAAGAGAAACTGCGAAGTTTAAAGGCGTCAAACTCAGCGTATCGTGGGGCTATTACTCGAGTTCAAAAACGGATAGAACAGTTAATGACTGATAGAAGCAATTATGAAGAAGTTCAAGCCGAAAAAGCGTCGCTGGATAAAACGTTTATGAGTTATTCAAAATGCTGTCAAGACATTAAAGATTGTTTGTACGAGGACGAAGTCACTGAATTCCGTGAGATAGCGAAAGGATATACTAACGTTTGCAACGCAAAGGAACATTTAGATCGGAAGCTTGGAGAATGGATAGCAATCGCTGATGTTGATTTAGAGACGAATTTTAAAGAACGCTTTGAGCCAAGCGAATTAACGACGTTTCGAGTGAATGAACACGAAAGGTTAACAACATTGAACGAATTTGCATACCCAAACATGCGAAGTGATGGTCATGTAGCCTCGGATATCGACAGTCGGAGATCAAGTTTGAATCGTGTCTCGCCCGGTATGACGGAATTGCAATATTTCAAGTCAAGAAATGAGATGCCTGAATCCCGACGCAAGGTGGGTATGATTCGAAGCACTCAAACAAGTGTAGCATCTGAAAGTGCGAGTATTAGAAGAGCGAAAGCTGAACTAGAAAAACAACGATGTATGGAGATGCAAGAGATTGAACGCCAGCAACAGGCCATTGATCATCAACTACAATCCTGGACAAAAGGTTGTGGACAACCCACAGAATTTGGCCTCGAAAGGCGTTTTTCCTAAATAATTATCCCCCGGCTCCCCCACGCCAATGTTGAATGGGATTTTTCATCAAATACGAAGTGTGGTTAAGTCGGATAAGCAACATTGAAGAGGGGGAGTGGGGGATATGCAAGTAAATTCAAGTTTTAGGTGTTTGTTATGATTTTTGCAAAAGTGGACTAAGTGTCCACACGAGTTTTGGCCAGGATTGTCTGAAAATCACCATAGAAAATAATAGACGGTTCTTGTATCTAATATGACACAAAAAGGCAAAAACTGTGCTTTGTCAGTAAAATTGCGCTTGTTTGCATCTCAATAATCCATTCCTGACCATCTTTTGAAAAAAAAAATTGTCCGGTAAAGACACAGATTTCCTAACCAAAAAACCCGCCCACGAGCCTAATTTTTAGCAATAATTCTGTGACGAGAATGACAGAATATATATATATTGTACTAGTCTCAAGCCTGTTTATGCATTCTTGAAGTGCTTGAGAATCTAATTTATACAACTAAATGACATTTTTCATACAAGTATTATAATTCGTTAACTGCCGCTTACGATATATGCCAGTACGTTTGTATGTTTTAACTATATATTACAGCTTCGTTCTGACAGTGCAATTTCAAGGTGCATCTAAAACTTGCTGAATACAATGTTCAACAGAAACCTATATATACATGATTTAATTAAGGCAAGAACTAAACATCTGAATTATATTAAGTTACAGGGCTTTGCTATAATTGTTAGGTTGATATGTTATACTTTCCGATCGAGTGACGTAATGTGTAACATAATATTCAACGCTCGAAACACGGTCTACACTTTTTTTTGCAGTGATTTTAGAAGTATATAAGCGCGCAAACGATTAAAAATATAGATTAAAAGGCTTGTCCAATTACGTTTTGCACCAGTATGCAGCAAGACATATAAAATCAGCTATACCTTAAAAATCGCCACGGTCTACACACAAAAATCGTATTTTCATGAATACTAATGAGCTATGATCTATTATATTCAAAGAGCTACTTTTAATATGTAGACAGTGGTAACTTTTTATTGCTCTACTGTGTAAATTATGAAAACATTTTAATAACAAGTATAATATGTAGGTAGTCTCCTAACAAAAAATCGTTACATTTCAATGCAGTAATTGTGTATAATTCAAGTTCGAAGTTACTGTAGACCGTGCTATATTTGGCGCACAGTATTCGAAAGTGTACGGCAATATTGCATTCTTTGACAAACTTCAATTGTAATATAATATTTACAAGTATATATTAGTGAATTGTATGTATTTAATGGCCGTAGCTGTATCGAGTTCGCGTACCAGTTTATGATAGACAATTATCTTTGGAAATGCTACGAATCTTCAATGTCAAATTATATTGCCTTTCAAATGGCGAAAAAGGTTAACATGATATATTTCATTTTGAGTACTGATGCTTTTTTATTTTGATATTGCAAGGTTCTAGATCTTGTCATTGGCGCGTAATATATTAGGGCTGTGTATAAAAATATAGGCTGTTCAAAACTACAGGAGTCGTTAAAATCACTAAAAATATGCAAAAGTACAATAATTTATTCCATGGAATAAGGTAATTGCTACACAGCTTGAGACGTTTAGGAATCATACTGAATCTCCGTACAGATATGACACTGAAAATTTTCTGCACCGTCAATTTCTCTCCTACTAAAGCCTAAATACGCTCCTTGGCTATGTATCTGAACAGTAAAGTCGGTGTACCTTCCATGTATAAGATTGAGAAAAAGTTATGCTAGCACCTATTCAGTATAGTTGGTTTTACGCACGCTTCCCACAAATTAGCTTATATTTACAACATCCGGAAGTGACGTATTACTAATTGTGACGTCATCAGCTACCAAACTGTATAGCAAAAACTTACAAAACATAGGTAAATGTTATAGTCTCATCAGACATATCGAATGTTAACGAACAAGTGATAAAACAGCGCTTCTCCATGCTCATCATTTTTCAGACAATCCTGGACAAAAGGTTGTGGACAACCCACAGAATTTGGCCTCGAAAGGCGTTTTTCCTAAATAATTATCCCCCGGCTCCCCCACGCCAATGTTGAATGGGATTTTTCATCAAATACGAAGTGTGGTTAAGTCGGATAAGCAACATTGAAGAGGGGGAGTGGGGGATATGCAAGTAAATTCAAGTTTTAGGTGTTTGTTATGATTTTTGCAAAAGTGGACTAAGTGTCCACACGAGTTTTGGCCAGGATTGTAGCTACGGCCCTGCTATAGGCATGCAATGCCCTTGTCATTTTCAAACATCTATCAAAATATCTTATCTGGACATAACAAAGGGTGCACTTTTTAAAAATGCACTAGACACGGAGCCATCTCAAAATACGCGCTTTAAACGAATCGAAAGTTTTAATATTTTTGTTCACATTTTATTTTTTGGTAGAGTGATAATGACTGAATATAAAAGCGGACTAGCCAACGCAATCGGCAATATGTGAACATTGTTTGGATCGATAGAACTTACTGTTGGCCATTACATGCAAAACTGCCTAGAAACATAATATTATTATTGATTGTGGAAACATAGCCTATCGAAGGGAAGATGGCTGTGAAACTCATTAGAATAACAATATAACTCATTATCTAATTTATCTATGTTAGTCAACGTTTATTCATAAATCTGGTCGTTTCACCGTCACGTGTGTATTGTATTTTTACCAGGGCGTAGGAACCGGGGGGGGGGGAGGGAGCCGCACGCGGGGCACATGCCCCCCCCCCCAATTTTTTAAAGGACTAAAAGTGCCCTTTTTTGTGATAAAAATTGCCCTTTTTGTACA